AGAAGAGTCATGAAAAACATGAAAGCTTTTTCTAGATTTGTCACAAACTAATTCAGGTTTGAAGATTGGAGAATGCAAGGAGAGGGTTGGGAGTATGGAAAGGTGTAAAGTGAGGTTGCAGACTGGGGGCCCCCTGGCCAAATTCCACTGATATATTTTGTTTGGCTCACATTATTTGAAAAAATACTCAAATTCGTTTAAAACGTGGGAGTTTTCATACTAAAGCCCTTGGTTTCCAGATTTTCTAGAGGAATAGGGAGTGCTAGCATCAGAGCTGTGGCTGGTTGGTAGCTGACCCTGTGAAAGGACATGGCTCTTGGTCGTAGCCCCTGCCAGCATATCACCCCAGTCTAGAAGGTTCTGGATCCAGACTTGGAGCACCACCACTCACCAACTGGGCCACACTGGGGCCGGCATTTAATGGACTCTTCCTCCTCACCTGCCCCCGGCTGCCTCATGAGTGTGACAGCACATCATAAACACGCAGCACAGTGGACCTGTAAGGAGGGGGTGGTTCCCAACAATGCAGGCACCCTTAGTCAAGTGGGCATTAGGAAGAGACGCTTAGTGGCAGCCTGTGGACAGGGAAGGGAACCCATGTAAGGGAAGTGCCCTAAGACAGTGTCACCCATTTCTTTCCTTAAAAAAAAATTTTTTTTAAAGGTGTTTTAAAACTGTGTTTTCTAAAATTATTATGATTATTTTACAAGATCCATGCAGTCTACGTGGTGCTTTATAAGGCGTATCCGGCTACAGCTGGTGCACTTTGGGGGGTTTTATGGCAAATTATTCTCAGATTACTCTTTAATGCAGCAAGGTCTGCCTGTTGTCTGAGCTCCCTGGGTCATACGGAAAACCCTCAGACTTGATACAAAACAGCTGCCTTAGTCAGCTGTTTCAGAAAAGGAGCATATTTAGGCCGAAGCAGCAGGAAAAAGGTTTTTGTAGCTGGTGGAGATTTTGAAAAATGTTAAATTACTCTTTCCTTGCCATTAAAATGTGATTTAATTTTGTTATTAACAAATTGTGTAAATCTGAAAAGAGGGACTCTGAATGGGGTTTGTGAAGTGCATTCTGGCAATACTTACAGTATGTCCTGGGGGGTTGTTCTCCAGGGAGGGCAGCAGCCCAAAACTCCAGCTGACCTCCATGTCCCCGGGCCTCAGCCCTGGCTGGGCTGGGGTCAGGGGGCCAACCCCTAGGCCTCCCTCCTCTCTCTCCTCTGGGTTCCTGCTGAGACCAGCAACAAAAGGGTCAATTGTCTGAGGCCTCCCTTTGTCTCAGGGGGCTCTGTGGGCCTCTCTGAATGCCAAAGCATCTCTGTGCACGTGGGTCAGCGCATGTGTGCATGTCTGTATGAATGTGTGCATGTGCATGTGTGCCGGTGCATGCAGATGTCTGCATCTGAGTACTGTGTGAGCATGTGCATGCATGTGTAAGTGCGGATATGCATGCATGCAAAAGTATGAGTGCACACGTGGGTGAGCTGCGTCTCAGTACACACATGTGTATACATCTGTGTGCACGTGCATGTGTAAATTGGTTATGAAGTGTGCACAGGTGCATGGTTGCATGCATGTCTGTGCAGACACAGGCAGGAGTGAGACTTGTTTAAAGTTGCTGATGCTTCTTAGCAAGGCCGAGGGCTCAGAGAGGCCTGACTAGCTAGGTTCCTAATGCCAGGCCAGAAGATTATCTCTGGCCCATCTCTCAGCAGATGACACAGTTGCCTTTGTCTTGTATCTGCTATGGCACAGAAGCCTCAGAGAGTTTTCTACCTCCCCTGGCTCCTCTGGGGTTGGACAGTATGCAGGAAGAGGAGGAAGAGACATAAAGAGTCTCCTTGCTCATGTTCCAACCTGGGCCTTCACAGCAAGGCCCACGAACCCTTTTCTACACTGTTCCAGCATCTTGTCAGGGCTGCCTAATTGGATCCAGTGCATTCCGTGTGGAGTTTAAGCCCTGTTTCCAGAATGACTGCACAGTGCCCTGTTCCCGTCCACCACATGAGTCGGTTCCCACGTAGCTCCGGGCCCTTTGCATGGGTTCGGATCATCTTGTTCCCTGGCATGTCGTTACCTGGCTTGTTCACACAGAGGCTCGCGAGATGCTGCGGCGGGTCTGTGGATTCCCTGATTCGCACTTTCTTCCTTCACAAAGATGTCCTTTATAAAATGACAATAAAACATATTGGATTCAGAAGCCAGGAAAAGACAAATACAAGTGCTTAATTGAAATCCATCTCTGTGAAGGATTTATCACCCCGCCTCTTTCAACCGGCACAGCTACCACTGAAAAACTTCCTCTGTTTTTTTTCTTATTTTTGTCCCTCCCACGCCCATTTTCTCTCCCTACTCCAGGAAAGGCGTATCTTTCAACTGTGGAAAAGCCACCAATTAAGCAGTACTCTAAAGCTTATCAAAATATTCGGTTGGTAAAATTATCTTATAATTAGCCTCACTGGAAGCCAGAACTTTTTAACTCCAGGAAATGTAAAGTTACATGGCATGTGAAATCGTAAATTGCTCATCCTGACCTTTTGGCTGCAGATTCTGTTTTTATTTCCTTCCCTAAATAATTTCCTCCTTGTTCTTTAAATTCTTGATTGTCCCTGAGGCATCTTCCTTTTCCATTTGCTTAAGTCTCAAAAAGATGTACTCCTGGTTTAGCTGACAGATAATTGAATACATTCAGGTGAGTGTGATATGAAATCACCTTGATGTTATGAATTTCATGCCTTCACTTCTAGATAATCTTTTTGTAAAATTAAGCCTATCCTCCCTGAGTCCCGGCTCACTGATGTCAGTTCTGCATTTGGGGTATGCATGGTGGTAACACACAGCCAAATTATTCTGGAGCTGAGCTGTTTGAACAGTAGCTGGGAGATTCTGCAGTGTGTTAAGCTGGACCGAAGTGTTGGGCTTGCTTTCTTTTAAAAAAAAAAGTGTAATTGAAATATAGTTGACATGTAACATTATATTCATCCCAATGATTTTACTTCTCCTAACCCTTCCTCCCCTTGCCTCTTTGTCACCCCCTCCACCCTCCCACTGCCCAGGGAGACTGCCCCCACCCCCACCACCACTGGGGCCAACATCAGGGGAACTGCCAGTGATGTGTTTGGGGATGTGAAGGTTCAACTTAGGTGGACTTGGGCCCAGATGATGCTTGGATTTTTAACTGCTGTGAGTCCCTTAAACTAGTAGTGCCATAGTTCAGCCACAAGTGGGTTGATGAGACTTTCATAAGCATGGTTGAGGCTGATCATCATTTTTACATGATGAAATAATTTCTAAGTTCCAAGAACTAACTTAAAAAATTAAATTTTGGAAAATGAAGGGCTGCCTGGGTGGCTCAGTGAGTTAAGCATCCAACTCTTGATTTCCACTCAGGTCATGATCTCAGGGTCATGGGATCAAGCCCTGTGTTGGACTCTGTGCTCAGTGGGGAGTCTGCTTGGGATTCTCTCTCCCTCTCCCTCTGTTCCTCGCCCCCCCTCCCCTGCTGACTCTCGCTCTCTCTCTCTCTGTCTCTCTCTCTTAAAAGAAGTAAATAAATAAAATCTTTAAAAAAATTTTGGGGAAATGAAAACATTTTCATAAATGAGGTTCTGCATTTGGGGTATGCATGGTGGTAGTTACTATTTATAGTTTTTCCTTTCCATAGGCAGTATGCACACGTGTGCATGCACACACAGGTATAAACACAAAAATGGAAAAATTGCTTAATCATTACATGAGAAAATAATTATTTGCCCATTATATAGTTGTAAACACTGTGGCTCTGAGAGTTTAAATAACTTGATGCCCATATAGTTAGCTGTTGAACTCGTGTGGCCTGACTCTTCTGGAATTTGCTACTGACCTTGCACGAACTAGCTGAGGTCCATGCCGTATGACTCCACCCCCACTTATGCTTGAGAGGTTTCCATGACACCCCCACAGAGTAAAAAGGAAATCACGATGTCCCCTTGTTCTCCACTTGTCGCTGTGTCCAGCACTGGTATACACGTTCTCTTGATGTCACACATGTACTGTAGGCTCAATCTCTTTGCTGTCCTCAGAGACGTAATTTGCTGGCCTTGAGCTTATGGAATCAGTGTGAAGATTGTGCAGATCCCCCTGGCAAGACTGGCCCAGGTGGTCTGTCCCCCATGGCCTGGTCTCCACTCGGCTCTCCTGGGGCAGGGGGGTAGGGAAAGAACTCCTCCCGGGACCCAGGTACGACAAACCTCAGAATCAGCCGTACACGGAATCCATCCTTTCACGGCTGTGTCTCAGAGCTGAAAGAGCCCTGTTTTGCTCATACAAACAGAGAGTAGAATGCTGGTTGCCAGGGGCTGGGGGTGGGGGAAATGGGGAGGTGTTGGTCAGAGGGTATAAACTTTGAGTTGTAAGAGGAATAAGCTTTGGAGGTTTAATGCACAGCGTGGTGGCTATAGTTAACGATACTGTGTTGTATACTTAAAATTTGCTAAGAGAGTAGATCTTAAGTGGTCTCACCAAAAAAAAAAAAAAGGTAACTATGTGAAGTGATGGATGTGTTAATCAATGTGATAACTTCTGATAATAATTTCACACTGTATATGTATATCAAATCATCACATTGTATACATTAAATATATACAATTTATTTGTTAATTATACCCCAATAAAAATAAAAAATTAAATTTAAAAAAATTTTAGGAAAAAAGCAAAAATGCAAAAAAAAAAAAAAAGCTCTGTTATGGAAGGTCTTCCAGATGAAAGACACCCATCTAACTTGAGAGACACATGAAATATTTTAGGTGTCTCTAAGACCCTTTCAAAATATAGCTATCCTTTAAGAACTATGTTGAAACTAAAGATCTGTCATTAAAAGGTGTTATTTATGAAGCATAAGCAGTAGGAGATTTTAGGAAATGTTTAAAAAATAATGGACCATAATAAGTTAATTTTCTTGTGAACTCAGCATACTCTTAATATTATTTAATATGTATTTTTCCCTCTTTTTAATTACAGCTTGGGTTGACAATAGCCATTCGCTACAGCCACAGGTAAGGTTAATTTTTTTTTCCTCTAAAGAGATAACCTTACTGGTTTATAGCTTTTGGTTTGCTTAAGTCTATGGGTTTTTGAGCTTAATTTTGGTGGCTGCTCTACCCATGGTATCAGTTCATAGCAATTAGAATTGTTCTAGTTGCTTGACTGGTGGAGGTTACTGGCTATTTGGAGGAATAGGGTTTCTACGTAAAAGTGGTGGGAGGTAGTACATTTCTTTTAAAAGAAAAAACGTACTGCCGTAGGGCAGGGACAGAAGTGATTTCTGGGTAATATATTCCATCTAAGGATAAGAACAGAAATCAGGGATGTCCAGCATGAGAGGCGGAGGCCAGACAAACAGAAAGCTGGGTGAAGGCTTGTTAGTGAAGCCCCTTGCCCCTCCATGGGGCCCCCCTCTTGTCTTACAGTCATCTGAGAATGGCTAAAAGCTCCATTTTTTGTCTTGCTTCATGATTTCTGCCTTTTTCTCGGGTGTATCATGTTTATGAAAAACGTTGGTTTCTTGTAATAATATTCATCAAAATGTATTACGATGTTGAATTAGTTAAAGATCCAGTCTCCATGGAGGGGCACCAAGCAGTGTCCCCCCGTCTTTACACAAACTGCTCACAGCCTCCCCAGAGTGCCACCCGCCAGTCAGCTTGGGGCATCTGGCCAGCTCTCCACAAACAAACCTCAGTAGTTACCTCAAAGATTGCCTTCTAAAAATGCTTGTAACAGGTTGTATGTACTCGTTTACATTCAGCTGTGACTTGAGCCACAAAGTGGGCAGAGAAGCCTCGAAAAGCCACTTGTTGGGTAGCAGGAAGAAGGCAGGACGGGGTGAGAATCACTCGGAACTGGGAATGAGTGTGTGGGAAGAAAAGTGTTCAGGCTGGACATTTCTGGATACTCTCGGAAGAATGCTGCTCCAGAGCAGCTCAGATTACTTTCTGGATCGTAGGTGTGCATGATGCTTGCGCACGGCCAGGTGGGGCGTTCTGCAGAAGCACCTGTTCCCTTGTCAGCATGGCCAGGCTGCTGGACTGACAGGATGTACAACCGCTCTGCACCTGGGAAGCCTGGTGTGGACAGCGGCTCCTGGACTCTCATGTGGGCTGGATACTTGGTGGGGGTGTGTGTGGAGGGGGCAGATTTTGCCCTTTCCACTCTTTTCCTTTTGGTGGAACTTTCCTCCTATCTGAGTCCCTCTCTTCAAGAAAAGTAGCTGCCTGTTTCTGCAGGAGAGCTGAAGGTGCCTCTTCCCTAAGAAAGCTAAGGCCTTGCTCTGGTTCGGAGAACAAACATGTGCTTGTTCCTGCAATGGGGAAGGTTACTCTGTGGCTCTGGGGAGAGTTCTAACTGGTGCAGAAACTCAGAGTCTATATGGAGCTTGAGAAGAAAGCATTCTTTATTTTTTTTTAAGGTTTTTTTTTTTTTTTGATGTAGTGTTCCATGATTCATTGTTTGCGTATAACACCCAGTGCTCCATTTAATATGTGCCCTCTTTAATACCCATCACTAGGCTAACCCATCTCCCCCTCCCCTCTAGAACCCTCAGTTTGTTTCTCAGAGTCCATAGTCTCTCATGGTTCGTCTTCCCCTCCGATTTCCTCCCCTTCATTTTTCCCTTCCTACTATCTTCTTTTTAATACTTGGTGAGGCTGAGGGACTTTTGCCAACTCTCAGCCTTTTCAAATCAGGAAATCAGGTGAGATAACAGAGCAGGGTAGACCTGATGGAAGGCCGGATGGTGCCTTTGCCCCCGTGCTTATATGGCGTCAGGCCTGTGTTGTGGAGAATATTCCTGCTCGCCCTGCCCTCGGCCAGGGCAGGCACCTGGCATCTTTCCATATGGTTACCAACACCTCACTGGGTTTGTGGAGACTCTTCTGTCCCTCCTGCTGCCTGGCCCTGTCACCCACCTCTGTCCTTAGAGAGAAGGAAGAAGATGAAGGGTATGGGTATCTGGTTATGTCTCTGCTAGTTTATTTAGATTAATTGAAGCTTCAGTCTTTCTGTTGATTACCTTTTTTTTTTTTTTTTTTTGGTAAAATACACCTAACATAAAATTTGTTATTTTAACCCTTAAAAAAGGTTAAAAAGTATACAGTTCAGTGATAGTAAGTACATTCACATTCTTGTGCAACTATATCACCACATCCATCGCTAGAACTTTTTTGTCTTCCCAAAGTGAAACTCAATACTCATTGAGCAGTAACTAACTCCCCACCTGCCCTGCCTCCAGCCCTTGGTAACCACCATTCTTTCTGTCTCTGAATTTGACTACTATAGGATCCTCATGTAAGTGGAATCACACAGTATTTGTCTTTTTGTGTCTGGCTTCTTTCACTTAGCATAATGTCCTCAGGATTCATCCGTGTTGTAGCATGTGTCAGATTTCCTTCCTTTTTAAGGTTGAATAATACTCCATTGCATATGTGTGTGTGTGTGTGTGTGTGTGTGTGTATCTATATAGATAAATAAATAAATATATATATCACTTTTTGCTAATCCTTTCATCTGTCAATAGACATTTGGGTTGCTTCTGCCTTTGGCTATTGTTAATGATGCTGCTATATACATGAGCATTTAAAAATCTCTTTGAAACCTTGCTTTCAGTTCTTTTGGGTATATACCCAGAAGTGGAATTGCTGGATCATATGGTAATTCTATTTTTAGTTTTTTGAGGAATCGCCATACTGTTCTTCTGTTGATTACTTTTTAAAATGGCGTTGTATCCTATGTGTATATAGTTCTGGGTCCCCTTCAAAGGCTCACAGTTGCTATTGAGAAATGGTTTCCATTTCTATTGTCATGTCTACCCAGAACCCAGATGCTGGAATTAAGGGCTTCCTAGGTCCTCTTCGTGTGGGTAAGGATAATTTTGGAAGCAAGGTTTGGGACTTGAGGTTTTAATAACCAGGTCCGTTTCCCAAAATCTAACAGGAGGTCCAGGGCCAAGAGCAATGGTGCGAGAATCCTGTAGTAGATGGAGGTGGGACGAAGGGAAGGGAGGAGGGGAATGTGGCTCCAGATGGCAGCACTGGGAGGATGGGTTCACTTAGGAGTGGGTGGGATGGACTTCAAGGACGTGAGTATGCAGAGGAGGAGAAGAATCACTAAATCCTATGAACTTGGTGGGCAGGCAGTGCCTCTCAGGCTGCCATAGACACATGGAGCCGAGCAGCCCGGAACAGGGGAGCCCTTGCATGGCAAAAGAGGGACTTAAGGCTCAAAGGATGCCTGGTTTTGTTTTTATACACCTGCATTTTTGCTCCAGCCATCAAATCTCCCTTGTTATGATGAAGAAAGCTAGAGCATCCTTTCCCCTGATTCCTGTACTAACACTTGTCCACCCCAACAACTCCCACCCCTGCCCTCAGACATGCTGGTTCAGCCTCTAACTCCTGCTAGACCAGTAATGCCAGACTTGGTTGTGTGGTATGCGAGTGTGCGTCTGTGTGTGAGACGTCACGCGGGGTCAGGTGCCGAGGGGTCAGGAAGTGGAGAACGACATAGTCATATTCTGATGACATAGATGTGCCAAGCAAGGAAGAGCATCGGCTGTGACCGACTGTGCATTTGACAACAGGTCCTGCACACAATTCATTTATTATGATGGTGTTTTAATTTATTTTTGTAAAGTCAAGTCATTTTCACAGAGTGGAAAAATTGTCTCTTGGTGTTCATTCCCCCACGGCTTGGCTTGAGGTTTTCGAGTGGAATCCACACCGCGGTAACAGCTGGGTAACCCCCAGAAGTGCCCTTTGCAGATAACAGCTCTCGGGGCCCCACCACCCACACAGTGGGGAAATTGTTCCCCACTGTGTGGGTGTTTTGTTTTTTCTTTTTCTATAAGTCTGAAAGAGAGTTTAGATGTTCTTCCTGTCTGTCCCTGTGCAGCAGCCTGGAGAAGCCTGCTCCCTTCTGGTGGGAGCTCCTGGGCAGAGACCAAGTGGCTCAGAAGTGACCCTCTCACTTTGGCTCTTGCTTCTCTGATACAACGGAGAGGCCACGCGAGCCAACAGCATGCCATTTTTGCACATGGCCCCTGTGTCCGTGTTTCCAAGAATCGCCCATGGACGCAGGGTGGGAGAGCGGTGAACTAACTCCCAACAGAATTATTTCCTTTCTTGTTCCTGTTCATTGTCTTTCTTTAATAAATAAGGAGGGAAGCAACTTTTCCACTTGGCTCTGTTACAGTTAAATGGAAGTTCATAGAGGTTTGACTTTTAGATGAAGCCTAAAGATGTTTCTTTCCCACAACTGACGTTTTCTATCCATTTCTCAGAGGCCCTAACAAAGGCCAAATTTGGTACCCTGTCCCAGGCCTGTGCCCTAACCCTGATTTTGGAGTTACAGGTACCAACCCCCTAACAGGCTTTGGTGTTCCCTGAGGGCTGGCGAGGGGAAAGCAGGATTGGGGAGCTTGTGTGTGATCAGTCCCAGAGAAGTGGGCGAGTTGACAGTTTGATGATCCCTGAGTTGGACTTTGGAGGGCATGGCCTTAGGCCGAAAACGCAGACCCCTTGATTAAATGTCGTTCTGAGACTGCCTTCGGGTGTTTGCTTTGAAATAGCCAGAGGGCCTAGCAAGAAGTGAAGGGGTCATGTACTTTTGTGTTCTGATTTAGATTAGAAGTGGAGTTTGAAGTTCATAGATGAATCAGAATGCTTATTGAATGGACAGCCTGCATCAATGAACAAATGAAATTGTCATCTTGAAATACAAAGGGAGGGAAAGACAAGAAACAGGGCCATCAGGCCTATTGGGCTTTGATTTCAAGTGTTGGCAAATACCTAGCAACTCCCATTTGGAGCTGGTTTGATCTTGTGGAGACAGCTGGGGGACACTGTTGTTCTCCAAATTTTGTAAAAATAAACAAAGATGTCTTTCTGCCCTTCCCACCCCCCCTTCCAGGGAATAGTTGTTTCTGTCACTGGGGCTTTCTGGCCGACTGTTCCATCTGTCTCTTTTTCAGTCTTCACAGTGAGGCCCTGACCAGATTTAT